ACTGGACAGTCGCCCAGGACGGGTCGGCGGAGCGCAACCTGTTCCTTGAGCTGGCGAACGGGGGCAGCCTTGCGGACTTATGTAAGCGTTCTAGGGGCAAGCTGAACGAGTCTATGATCCGGCGATGCTGCCGAGGGATCGTGAGGGGATTGCAGCACATGCACTCCAGCGACGTGGTGCATCGGGACGTCAAAGGTCAGTATGTCTTAGTGATGGTCGGCGAGGAGGGTGGGGTAACTGCCAAGCTTTCGGACTTCGATTCTTCATGTTGCGTCCACGGGGACAGTGCTGGTGACCGCGACGGCCAATCGGGCGATTCATCCGCTCAGATATCGCCTGTACGGCGGGAGGGGGGTGGCGCTTGTCCCGGACTTTCCGCATCCCTCGCGGGCACCGTTCAGGGGATGGCTCCCGAGGTAGCCTCCCAGAGCGGCACCCTGGCAGCGGCTTCCGACATTTGGTCATTARSGTGCACGGTGATCGAGATGGTGACCGGCAGACCGCCGTGGACGGACGTGGAGGGCGCCATGTCAACGCTGTTTCGCATCGCGTGCACCAACGAGGTCCCTGCTTTCCCCCCGCACGTGTCATCAAAGGCCAAAGACTTTCTCTCCAAGTGCCTGGTCCGAGAGCCGTCCCGCAAGAGGTCTGCTTCCCAGCTCCTTGAGCACCCGTTCTTAGCCGACGCTGGGCGCGAATCAGTCGTTCGTGGGCGCAGCGGAAGAAGCTTTGCGAACCGGGCGGAGGGGAACTGCCATCCCAATGATCTCGTTGTTTTCCAGGGGTGTGCGGATCGAGCGCCAGCGGAAGCGGAAGGGTTGGTCTCGTCGTGATTGAGTGGCGGAAGGAAAACTGTGATGGATGATGCTGGCAGAGAAGAAGGTGTTGAGATGCGCTTTGGCTCTGGAACAGAGAGGTTGACGTGCACCTCTCGGAGTTTGTTGAAGGCTCGCGAACAAGAAGCCTCTCCTCGACTTGTGTTCCATCTGCCCACGTCCTCGTTGTAATGTTTGCTCCTTTCGCAGAAGAGATCCCGAAGAAGGGTACCATTCATCCAAACACTCGTTACACTCCCGTTGGATGTGGAAAAAAAAAGAAACAGCCCAGCTCTTACCTCAAAACGGTGATTTACCAAGGGTAGCTTTACGATTAAGATAAGTGGTAGAACACTCCCAAGATCCCAACCGTAAACAAATTTAACCAAGAGGTTTTCGGATTGGCGTTTTCAAACCAACCCGAGCTCAGGGCATAAAAAAAACAATAGATTTCCGGGTGGAAGTGTCCTACCTATTATCCCTGTATAGTTTTTCATGAGCTAAGCTATCTACAATCAGGGCATACTCAGGACATACTCACACCGGCGGGACCTACAATCCTAAATTCCCCCCAAAAGAGGTAGAGGACCGATCACACATATTTGCCAAAGTCCTAAATGTACCATTCTTGTGCCCATTTGTCAGAGGCCTACGTAGTCGCGGGGCAAGGGAATTTGCGGTCACCTATGGAGCTGACTGCAAATGCCGTATTTACTTCTTTTTTTTCTTTTTTTTTTTAATTTTAATTGGGCTATATTCTTCTCTCAAATCGTTCATCATCTTTCAAATTCTTTCAATTCACCTTCACTACCTACCTACCACTGCTTCTAATGCTTATACAGGGGACCCGTACGAACATAGCTTTGYTGCTTCCCTCCARGGCCTCCACCCATCAGAGCGGATGCATGCTGGCCCCCGCCCCAACCCTGGTGGTCGAGCATGGGGTGGGGCCGCCCCGGTGGGGTTCCGGCTAACGCAAAGGYGGAGCATTTTGCYWGTAGATGCGYYTCCCTTTTCATCGTCCCCCAGCCCCAACCGAGTAAYAGCTCTGTCTTAGGGCAACGCTCTGTGGGAGAGTGAGAGTGTTGACACTGSTGTTTTTGGCATTCTCTTCCAGAATTGGTGAAAATTCGATCACGAAAGTTCTTCGACAATTCGTGGATGGTGCAGTGTGACCAACAAAGTACCAAGTCGCCATTGCTCCAGACGGCCAGGGCCTTGTCCCATCTGAAAAGGTACATTGCTACCCCAAATGCTCAAAATATGCGGAGTTGGGAAAGGTCGATTTGAGGTTTTGGGCATGGTTCGGGTCGCWCTGCTGTACCTTTTCAGATGGGTCAAGGCCCTGGCCGTCTGGAGCAACGGCGATTTGGGTTTTCGCTGGTCACACAGCGCCATCCACAAATTGTGCAAGAACTTTYGTGAATGAATTTTAGTTCATCCTTGAAGAAAATGCAAAAAAATAAATAGGGAATTTGCGGTCACCTCACCTCCAGAGGTGACCGCAAATTCCCTTGGCCAGCAGCTACACAGGCCGCCCACAAGATGTCACAAGAATGGAACATTTAGGACTTCTGCAAATCT